GATAAAATTAATAGAAATAGAAATATAGAAATCGAAATAGAAATTGAAGTCACAATACCACAAAATTGTGGTTGGTATATCATAATCAGTTTTAGGCCACTTTTATATCGTCTAATTTTATTCCCAAACTCAGCATATCATTTGATTCATACTTAGTTGGCCATTACAGACGTGTTCTCGTCCTAGGTCGCATCGAGTAGCCTCCGGCAGTCAGCCCAATTAGTTGCTTACTGTCGCCAGTTGGTGTTACCGAGCGCCCCCAAATCGTTGGGACAATGCGGACAACCTCTAAAGCGTTTTCCATCTGCGGGTACCGAATCAATTATTTGATTCATGCAGCTCTTAAATTTTTATCTCTTTTACTGCTAGTTGCAGTCTTTGTATCAGTTTATCAGTGTTTAATCTCCAAGTAATTTATGAACTTTAATTGTACAGTTAAATATGAGGTTTCTTTTACAATATCTACTATAGAGGTTATATCCTTCTCAATAAACACAAACATTTTTTTTATTTTGTATCACATTTTATTAGCCTTCATTAAATATACATATATTTTCATGAAAAACTTTGCTTTTTCACTACTAATTTTAGATATGTATACAATGTACGATTTTGTATATAAGGTTCTCGAAAATATATGTCCGAAATTTCAACTAAAAAAACTGTTTTTAAGGATCATTCAGCAAGTATTTTAAATGATCCAATTAATTTTATTTCTGCATTTATCACATGAAATATAGAAGCAATATCACATGCGTAATTGTTTTTAAAGTAAATATATAGTGTTGGGCCCCGAAACTGGATGCACTGCATGTTTAGAGTGCCTAATCTATAAAACAAAAATACATAAAATAAGATGATTATTATGTAGCTAAAAGTTAGAATAAAATAAAGTATTGATATACGTACTCGGTCGCAATACAGGGCTTGCTGTTCAGTCGACATTTTAGTCCAAATCTCAACACTTTTCATAATCATTTCTGAATTTGGCATATCCAAATTATTTTGACGAAAAGTTCGCAAATATTCAAAAAATTGACCTTTCTTTAGTTGTCCGCGCTGATTAATCTGCTTTTTCGGCTGTTTAGGTTTAGACGGACGTTTCTAATCGATAATAATGTAATTGTATATATGAAAAAATGCATATAACAACAATAAAAAATCAAATTACTATATAGTTATATTTAGATATTATTCATACTTTGAACTCACCATTTGTCTATATTTTTTCTTGTCAGTGGCGGACAAACGTTTCCACCTAACCATGCATCTTCGTACGGCATCTAGTGAAGACAATCCTATATGAGTTTCTCTGTATTTTCGTAAAAAATTTAGAAAACCAAAGCTAGATAAATGTCCACCTGGCGGACAACAACGTTTCCGCTTAGGTTTAGAGCATGGCCTCTTCTTTCCAGCCATTTTGTGTCTTTCACTACGCGATTAAAATAAAACACCTTGATTATTGAAAATTTTTATCGCTCCAAATGATAGCAAAAAAAAAAAAGCATGAGCAGCAAGTAAAAGCTAGAACACAAATAATATAGTTTATCATTATGTTAGATATATACAGATATTTATTAATAGAAATATATCACCTCCGTTAATAATTAAATTTTTATATAACAAAATTATTACCAATAGAATTTTGGAAACAATATTTAAGAAAAATATAAAATTATATGAAAAAAACGTTATCTCCTCTTAATTTAAATTTTTTGACAATAATATGGCTTGCTTTGGAGTTTTTTTTTAATTTTTACTTTATATTTTTAATAAGGGCACTAAAATTTTTACAAATTATTTTATGTATTGTATATGTATATTGCAGGTAATAATGTTATCTATAGGTACTTCGAGATTATTAGCTCGATTCGCAATATTTTCTCAATACATTTGGTTTTGTTATTGACTCTTTAGTCTGATCCAACATCTTGAATCTATTGTCTTTAAGGTCTTTTTCCAGTTTTGAAACAACTTCTTTTCTTTTAAGTTTCTATAAAAATGAGATGTGATCCAACAATTAAATAACGAAGTAATCTATATGCTGTACTTTAACTAAATGGACGATGGCTACATTGTTCGACAAGTGCCCAAATTTGGCATTGTAAAGAATTTTGAAAGGTTCATTAATTTTCCTTAGTATTTTTCTAAGATGATAATCTGAGATTCTAAGCTGTATTTTAGAAATAAACATTCAATATATATCATTCTGACTGGTATCCTAAAAAATTTAAACAAAGTTCGGATCTAGGTTTGTATTTGAGAGAGATTAGAGAATAGCGTTTGGGCACACATCGTTAGATGTTGTTACAATATTCAGAAAAAGCAGCATTGTAAATTCTTAAAGACAATATACTTATAAAATGAATTGCCTTTTCAATAGACATGCTTTTGATACAGATTTGCTACGGTGGAGAAAAGAATGTAGAATTACTTTTCTTTCTGATATGTTGCTCAAAAACATTTTTCACAACTTTCAACAAAGAAAAGCTCAGACGAATCAACTTACGACCCTTAAGTCTTCAGTGTGCAACTTCCCTGCTTTAAGAATAAATTATAATCGAGCCTTTCTCCAACAAATAGAAATATATAGCAACTTAAAGAAACGATTGTAATTATTCAAGAACCAAAGTAGAAAAAAATGTGTCGCAATGTCTAATATTAACGGAGATAACATCAACTGTGTACAATGTAGTTCAGTTAAGAAATAGTAGGATTGTTCAAAAAGGATTAGACATCTTAAATAAATATGTTATCCGTGTGGGATGCATTCCCTAGAGAAAGTGAATGCCTAAAAGAGCTTCGACTATTTCAGCATTAGAAAAGGTCTTGTAAACATCAAGTTTTATATATACAAAGGGATTAATAAGACTGACAAAACAAATACTGATTTCTACACCTTAATCTTCATTATTTTTAATTTTTTTACTAAAAATTTATTTTTTGCCTGGTTTTGCCCAAAAATTTTTTGAAAGCTGGTAGGGAACATATGTTAGTAAATAATTTATCAATTACCATCTGCCAAGTTTTTAGGGAATAGACTAACATTTCTCGTATCAATTATGAATTTTCACCAATTTTGAGCTTCACCAGAACAGTTTTTATAACATCAATCGAAGATTTTATTTGACTTCGTTAGATACATCCTCAACAGAATATTTACAGGCCAAAATCTGGCAGAACAGCGTTTACGACATCAATGGAAGATTTTGGTTGTCTTCACAAGATTCATTCTCAACAGAAAAATGTCCACAGGCCACAATCAGACCCAACTCTGAAAGTTTACGCCGAAATCCATAAGGAGTGGCGGAATGAATCTCTTACCGGTTACAATTTCACAAAATCTACTATAATTATACACAATTTTAAAATTTTGCTTTGCTGGAAAGGCACAATTGATAGGAAAACTCACTAATGGAAGCATTCTTCGTTTTCTAAACCAATAAATCATCTGCCTTATTTGTAGTAAATTAAGACTTAAAATGTGAGTTAAGTAATAGTTTACTCATAACTGATAATTAGTTCTGATAATCAGATGATCAATTTTAAAAAAATATAAGGATCACACACTTAATGTTAATTTTAGATTATATTGTTTTTTATTATACGGAATACTAAAACATGAATTTTGTATATCTAAATATCTTCTTATCAACAAACTATTAACTAAAGAAAAAATTTAACACAGACGATTTGATAAAAGACTCCTTTAGTTACCAGCTCGTTAATCTATTCTGTTGTACAAGTTATTTCTATATTCTGAAACTAGTCTATGATATATCTTAAACAAGCATTGAAATTCATGACTGCAGTTTACCATGTTACCCTCCATGCTCAGATAATCGTCCAAATACGCAATATATGAGGAGCCTACAATATCTTTAAAATCACTTAAAGAAATTCCAAAATCAATTCTTTGCGTATTCGTTGCGACCGTACATCGTGGGACCTCGTACACTGTTTCAGTAGATGCATCCACCGTATTTTGTCGCTTCAAGCCTTCCGTAAAATATAGCGAATCTACTTCTGCAAAGCTAAAGGGAAATAAGCCATTAGTTTTAAATGCCTTCTTTATATTTTGTTTTGTCAGTGTAGACTTTAGTGAGTACTTTAGTGTATCGACATAATCTCTGCTAGGTATGTGTTTTAGAGATGCTGCAAACCATTTATGAATTGAACTTGCCCATGCAAACTTAAGTTTTTGAAATGCCATATTATAGAGATTAAGTAAAACTATGTTCAGTTGCTTACAAGTGTCCAATAGTGCCATAGAGGGCGGTTGTTCCTGTTGATCAATAAACAAAATGACTGGAAATTCTACTTTTCTTTGCACTAAACCTGGATAGAGCACTTTTTGTATATAATGCCGTAAAACCTCACTATCTATAGCAGCTTGCGGTTGTGTGTATGTTGTCCAAATTTTCGGCAAAGTCACTTTTTGTGCTTTGATCGGTAATACAATCAATGGGGGCGTCGAACTGCCAGCGGCAGAGTAACTCATTATTATACTAAATTTTTCAAACCTTTCCACTGTACAATGAAATACACGATTTTCGTTAAGTAAAAATTTCGATAAGTCATTCTCATCCAAGTAAATTTTAATACCATCAAACCATTCACGTAATTGATTATAATCAAAATTCCAATTGGCTGGTGGTACTGAATATGAATCCATTATTTTTTTCACAGCTGGATGTTTCATACGAAATTGAGTATACCAGCGCTTACCAAATTCTGGATTACGTGTAAAGCGACCACTTTCCTTGAATAATTGAAATGCTGCCGCACATATTCCACAGTCATCACAGCTTGTAAAACGTGTACGCCAACAATCAACTACCCAACGTTCAATACGCAATTCTTCTTCTGGTGATAACAGTGATAACTTATCCTTTTTGCGACGTATTTCTTTCTCTGATCGTCTCTGTAGTGCTGCTACCGGTATACTGTAAATTGTGGAAGCCTTCTGTGTGGACATTCCCAATGCAATCGCTTGCATTGCAGTGCTGTAGTTTTCTTTAACAAATTTTTGTGGTTTCGGATATATAGACATATTTTTGCAATTTATTAAAAATGGTACACCAAATTTTTAAAAATTTATATCAAAACTTCGAAATTTTCGGAACTCAAAAATAAAATTTAATTAATTTTGAAATTCGAAAATGACGGCAAAATTTTGAAAATTTATCTGTTAAAAATGAAAGTTGCAAAAATTTTGATTATTTACATTGTTTCCGAAATATTTTCATAAAAAAATTTATTTTGAAAATAAATGAATGTAGTTAAAGATTGAAAAATGTTTGTTTGCTATGTTTGAAATAATTTCAATATATCCATTTTGACTTCTATTACTCAAATAAAATAACTTTCGCTCCTATAGGAACCTCAATAATTGTCTTAAAATTATATTTAAACATTATATTTTCGTAATGCTGGAACTCAGTTAGTGTATTACACTATAATAATTCAATAATAATATTGAAAATGAATATTAAAGTAAATCGATGTTAGGGATGTACGTCCGACTTGAAGCAAACGATTCAATATATAAAAATATATTATAAAGGCATCGGTAAACAACATTACTCTTAATAATGAAATTTAATATCATGATTTTAAATTGCAAAGCAAATCTGACTACAGAGGGAATCTTAAATTCTTTGATTAATATATACAAAAGTGTATTCATCTTTGAACTCTTGAATCAACTACCCAAAATATCAAAATTAAATGCAAGAATATGTATTAAAATTACCACAAAAATATGTCTCCTAATAGTACTTAAAATTCTTTCATCAATTTCTTTCATCAAATTTATTTCGACAATTAATAAAAACAACAAAATCATGCAAGGTATGATATTTACGGGCCTATACTCCGCAGGGTATTGAGAATGGCAGTGGGTAGTAAGTAAGCAAATTGGAAAGTTTAATATTATAGAAAAGAATATCTGTATAAAAAATCTATGTAATGGTTTAGTCAATAGCTATAATAAACTCATTTTGCTTCAAGTAGGTAATGCTGATAATGAAAAAAAAACAATTATTAATAAAATAGGTAAAATCAACTAGTTCCATTGTAATGTTATTATTTAAATTTATATAAGTTTCAATTTTAAAAATGAATATTATTTTAAAAAAAATAATTTTTATATTTAATTAGTGAAAAACAGCCCACTTGAGCTCAAATGATGGCCCATTGTGACGTCACAGGAGTGACGTTGGTATGTACATAGATTTAGATCAGTATACATTGAAAGCCGAACGAAGGTAACGACTTTCTCATTTGGTAAAGAAAAACCAACCTGACAGTTTCTATAAACCTGGCTAAGTCCCTAACATTACAGCATGACAGCTCAGTCAGATCGGTGAAAAGGGGATTCCAAGATTTTTAATCTTCTTCTAGTTAAGGAAGGATATTGACAGATGAGATAGAACACGGTTTCCTCCTCATCCTCAAAGCCACAACCTCGACAAAAGTCATTAAAGGGAAGACCCAGACTCATAGCATGCCTTCCTATTACACAGTGTCCCGTCAGCACAGATACCGTGGTGAAAAACATGAAAAACATATATATATATATAATTTTTATTGACTATTCAAATCTCTGTTATTTTATTCACTATGTTTAACTTAAGCGGAATTTATTCCTAAATTAATACACATAATTTAAATATTCACTATAAAATAAATTTTAACTGCATAATCTATGATGAGAAATACCTATGTGTAAAATTGCATTAACATTTTAATATACTTATATTATGTATGAATTTTGTTATTTAATCACAATTCCAAGAATATAAGTTAAATACTGCTTTGTGCTAAATAAATGCCCTTTAGATTTATTAACGAAAATTTCCACAAAATTAAATACCCAATTCCCAAGAAAATTTTGAAGAAAACAAGCATTTGGGTTAAGCACTAGAAAGCCTAAGTAGCGCGAAAAATCTACAACATATCGGTATTCCGTGATTATCCTTGAACGCAGCAAGTTACTCTTAATGCGGACGTTAAGGGTTTTTCGAGCAATAAAACAACTGCAATCATATACTTTACTCGGACGGGTAGGTATACTCTTAATTTTATAGCGAATAAATTATGTGCGGAAATATTTGTACTCCTGCTCGTAAGAGGTTAAATTCTTTTATGTTTGAGTTAATATTAAAATGCTAGTGATTAACGTTTTCAGCGTAGCACACGATCGCACAGGTAAGGGCCTGAAAACCTCAACAATTACATGAAAAGGGCATGCCTGGCAGTTGGTGATTTGCAGGATGTACGAATAGCGGTGCGAATTGCAGGCCTTAACAGGAGCAATAAAAAATAAAATTTAATTGTCGGTAGTAAAAACAATACAGAAACGAACGTGTGTAGATAATAAAATTTTAGGCCCTTTTTAAAACCCAAGCGAATGCACAAATATTTTTCAATCACAAATGCCTCCAAGGATGAATAATTAATGCGCCATGTTTCTTTGTTGTTAATAATTGAGCTAAAAGGAAGACACACTGAGTTGAAGTAAGATTTCCTATTTAAGAGTGAAGCTGTATTTTTATGATTGACCAGGGATGCCAAAACAAACTTTGGAAGTTAGGTCATAATGAAAATTTTATACAAATTAATAAAGAAATTGGTAAACTCAATTGTTTCATTTTTAATTTTTTTTGGACTGACTAGAAGTCCTCTTTCAAGTCGAATAAAATCTTTGCAAGAAGTAGGAGAAGATACGAATGTATTAGCAATTATATACAACTGCTAATTTTTGATTTAATAATTATTTAATTTAATAAATTTCAAATTTTAAGTCGAATTTTTTTCAGCCAATTTAAAAATTACAACGCATCCAATTATTTTTTACAATGCACCTGAGCATGCTATTATTTTTCTATATTAACTAATAATTTTGTCCTTTATATTATTTGTTATTAAATTTTATTACTTAAGTATGAACTCAACTAAATATTTTTATCGAATAACATGTATAGGGGATATTTTTCTACTGAGGTCATTCCGTATTTTGATTTTATTATTCATAAAAAAGCATTGTTAAAAAATTGTTAAAAATGCAGGGCGGGCATCAGTATTAAAAATTATAACTTAAGAATAATTTAATAAAGTAGAGCATATATAAATTTTAAAATTACTATAGGACATGCTCTACATTATTTCTTTCGATTTAAAAAATTCCGTGTCTCGACGTTACTCCTCTAAACCACCATCATTGTCCTAAAAATCCATATGGAATCAATTCCCCTTTACCTATCCAACTGCACACACCTGCTTTCAATCTTCTCCGCCTTGACATGGCCCTCTGCTTGATACTCTGATTTTTATTAATCGTTAAGTCCAAATTGAATTTTACACATTCTACATCCATGCATTTTTCGTTAAACCTATTATAACTTATGGAAATATAGAATTTATATATATAACTTGTTTTTTCATTATATTATATGCTAAATAATATTATATTTTTTTATGTTTTTGTTTTATTTTATTGTTTATTATTTATTATTTATTTATTTATTATTATTATTATTCATTATTTATTTATAATTATTTTTTTTTATATACATACACTTTGCAGTTCTTTTATTTACTTATGATATTAAAGAAATTTACTTGAAGGTAAAAAATGTTTATTGATGATACGAATTTTTATTAAATTTTAATATTCTTAATGATATAAAATTAATTTAATTTTCCCTTTTATAATTTTGTCCTTCCACTTAGAATTATTTCTTTAAAAATTTTGTATTTTAATGTAAACAAAGCCGCTCTGCTACCAAATGGAAGTTGAGTTTAGTTTGTTGTTTGTACCTTTTATATTGAGCAAAATTAAATTTTGTAAATATTTCCCCTGGTTGAAATCCTTTATAAATATAGTTATTTAGAATGATATTTTTTTATTGTGTTTGCATTTCCCTGAGTAACCATTTGAAAAGGAAAACAAAGTTCATAAAAAGCTTAAGAAAACGTTACCATAAAATATTGTATCTCAAGTAAAATAGAAAATAACTTTTAAAGTATTCAAGTATAGATAAAGTGTATTTTTCATATTTATATTTTAAAAAGTATTTTAATATATTTTTAGATTGAGAATTTATTAAAAATATTTTTTAGTAAAATATTACATATTTTATGTTTTTATTAATTTTCAATAACAATAATGCATATTGTCAAATTATTCGTCTACCTCAGGACGCACAGGAAGATATGCTGATCTACGGTCCGTCATAAGTTAGAAGATAAATAAATTATAATGATTCTAGTATAGTTAAAGCTTAGTGTGGGGCAGGGATAAGCCCTCTAGCCACAAAAGAGTAAAAGTGCGCAATAGCACTAACTCAAATCACAACAACAACAGCATAAACAGAAATTCACAAATATGTGATTTCTTAATTGAAATTAGTTATTTTAAATAATTTAAAAAAAACATAAATAACTAATTTACAAAAACAATTTGATTGGTGTCAAGAATTCGGAAGTTATTTTATTGCTTCCAATTATTCTTGGAAGTTATTAGAAC